ATTTATTTTGCTGTACAGTAGTACAGTTAAATTGTATAAATCACTGACTTGTGAGTTATATTATTCTGGTTTTATAACTACGATTATTTTGAATTGAAAAATGTATACAAAGTCTTTAAACATCTAATTTAATAAACAACAACAAAACATAAGCATATAATCACATAATTAGTGAAATCCATGTATTATATTAATCCTAAACCTGTTTTCTTAATTCACAACAAAAGTTATTTGAAGGACTAATAATCGATTTGAAGGACAATTTGTTAGGCATTTGTATAAACAATGGGTTTTTATTAATTGGCCTTTTTATGCATTATTATTACTATTATTATGGAAATAATTTCTGATTATTTGTGTAAATGCATTGAATTTACATTTCGTTATTTGCTTTGCTATTCATTCAAAATTCATTTGCCATCAGTTCGTGTGTTGTCTCATAAAAGTGAATATAATGTAAACTTTGTTAGTATATGAAAATTATTGAAACCATTATTACCGTACTCAGAGTAATAGTGAATGGATTCCCGATATGTTGAGTATGAAGACATTTTACAAGAAGTCGGAGGTTTTGGTAAATATCAGAAGTGTTTGCTATTGTTTTTAATACCCGTCTCACTATTATCGGCGTTTCACTCGAATACCATGTAAAACACATTTCTCATCAAAATTTCCTTTTCATACAAAAATCCAAACTTTTGAATACAATTTTTTCATTTCCAACTGCCTATCACTAAAAGTCACCTGAAGTTAGTGCCCGACCACTGGTGTGCAGTGCAAGAGTTGGCCAACTTTTCGCACGGAGAACAGCACCGATTCGTGCGACCGGTGGTCCGCCACTCAAACAACACCGACGATGTGGTCAGGGATTCGTGTCATATGTTTGACGTGGACTACAGGCAAGTGTTGAATGATTTACGTCTACCTCAAGTGAATGCGTCCGTCAAATGCCATAAAAGCAAACTCTCGGTCAAGAAATGCTCGGACGGATGGGTTTACGACCGGAGCTACTATTGGGACAGCTTTTCCATGCATGTAATTCAAGTCTCGACATTCAATTTGATGTATATTTACTTTAAATTGGTTTTGTTTGTTATTTTTTTGTAGTTTGATTTTGTTTGCGAACACAGCCATAGATTTAATATCATACTAACCATCAGAACCATCGCCAGTATTTGTGGGACTCCTATATTTGGATTGATTGCCGATCTGTAAGTATTGCGAAATATATGATAAATGTTTGATTCATGTATTTATAAATCTATTTTAGCCTTAAAGTACTACTGTACAAAAAAGCTATTTATATTGATTATCAAATTTGTATCAATTTATTCATCTATTGTCTGTAGTTTTGGGCGTCGAGTGAGCTATTTATCAATTCTGATCGCATCCATAGCCTCATCAATATCTCCCATCCTATGCAAAGAATACACTGTTTTCCTGGTCTGTCAGTTCATTATGGGTCTCACATACCCTTCCAGTCATATTATTATTTTGATTTTAAGTGAGTCCCCACTCGCTATAATTAATCAATTCATTTATTGTGCATTAAATTGAGTGAATTAAACGAAATTAATTGTCTTTTTCTCACACAATAGTAATCGAGTTTATGTGCCCTAAAGACAGAACGAAAACTCTGTGCTGTTTATGGATCTCTCTATATATGGGTTCATGTATTCATACAGTCATTATTTATTACATTCCTCATTGGGTTTGGATAACCGCTTTAAATACTGTATCAGTTCTGCCATTGATTTTCACATTAAAGTATGTTTTTTAAATAAATGATTCCCAAATATATTATGCTATTAAGATATAAGCGTTAAATGGGATTAAAATGCTTTTTATAAATTACAGAATATTTTCTAGGAATCCACTTAAGAATACAAAAACTTTAATACTATTCTTATATTTATTATTTTGATGTTTAAGTTCTTATATTCAACTCTAAGATTGATTCTAAGAAATAAATCAAAGTTTTCTACTCTTTTACAGCAAAACGTTGATATTTATTATTTGAAATAAACTTTTTTTTATAATGTTTTCTTTAATTTTGTTTATATTTGGCTTTAGATTTATTCCGGAATCACTTCAATGGCTTTTATTGAAAGCAAAATACGATTTCGTTGAGAAGTCCTTTAAAAATATTATGCAAACAAACAATACATCAATTGAAGAGGATTTACTTTCAATGCAAGTCCAGGTTTATAACAAAATTATCAATTATTCTGAAACTATCAAGACTAGTGTACATTTTCTTATCTTGATTCATGTTAATTAGTAGATTTTTGTTTACTATTTATTGATAAATATTTTTCTACTAATTAGATATTTAATGAATTTATTTCTAAAATGATTTTTAATGAATCTTTTATTTATATTAAATCAGAAAATCGGGAAAATAACCACAAAAACTGATCCCTTGACTGAAACCGAAGAGAAATCCAAACACATTCATAAAACGATCGTAAGATTCTTGAGAGAGACCACACTTTTTCAATCGCTGCTGATTATGACCCTATGTTTTGGTGTGAATCTCATTACAAAACCCATATTTGAAAGCCATATGTTTGTGTTGAACACGAATCAGATACTATTCAACGAGATTCTGTGGTTTTTGGTGAAAATTCCGGCGATTCTTATCACTTGGTTTCTGTTGCAAAGAAGAATCGGTCGCCGATTGTCTAACTCTTTAGTATTGGCTTTGATTGGACTGACACTCGTAGGCCTACTTACCACCAAAAGCCTACAATTGAAATACTGGTTATCATTGTGTGGATTACTCTTAAACACATCATCTATTATGATAACATACCTCCAAATTATAGAGTCCAGTCCAACGACATTCAGGTGCTCGGCTCTCACTACATCCCTGTCCATCGCCACACTCATCGTTACTGTTATTCAATACGTTTATACAATTGTATGTATGAAATGATAGTCTAATTACAAAATAATGTTTTTGATAATTATTTTTTAGGACAATTATGACAAGCATTGGTTGTATTTAGTGGTGGTGTCGAGCGTCACATTTATGACTAGTTTTTTGGCCACTTTTCTGATGGAAACCCTTCGAGAAAATATGCCTCAAAATGTGACGTCTGCTGAGAAGTTGTTGAATGACATGAAGTATTGGAAATTAGGAAAACGAAAGTGTGATCTCAAGAGTAATATATTTAAATCGTTGAGTACTTGGGATCTCAACGAATTGGAAGGTCTCGACAATACATGACTACAAATGCAATTAGTTTCCAATATTTGATAATTCATTACATCTAAGACTTACGAATAACTACTGCTTATAAATGTTTATTACCGTAAGTGTGCTATATTCAAATAAACATCATTTGAATTCAATAAATAAAATTACAAAATATTTCTTTTAATTATTTGTTATAGTTTACTAATTAATTAGTGAAATAAGTATACAGTATTCACTAGATAACAAATTCATTGTGAAATTTTTATAAACTGGGACAACTTTACTTATTTGAAATAAGTTATTTGATACAGTTACTGTAATGGCAACAATACACTAGTAATGAGAATATTGTATTGAATTTAAATGACTATCGTAAATTAAATCAGGAATTCGTAATACCGTCAAAATGATATACTTTATATTGATTATTGTTGACAATATTTCCGTTATATTCTTGAATTGTCATTTTTAAATTTGCGTTAACCGTTAATACAGTGTATTTCTAACGCAAATGAATTTTGACAACTGGGTGCCAACGGTGATAGTGTTAGGCCTATGGGTTATGATGATTGGGTTAATGGT